AGAAGAACCCTGAATGACTCAGAGGATGATGGAACTGGAGGAACCAAGCGAATGAGGACTCGAGGACCTGGGCATGGGTGTGATGTCAAAAACAAAGGTCCAGGCTGAGGCAGTGCTGGAGCATGTTCAACAAGTTAATGCTTCAACGTATGATTCAAACACGGGCAACTGCATGCCTAATGTAAATGCCATGAATTGTAGCAGGCGTTGCTCCTCATCATTGAAAAAGAAAGATATCTTGAGCAGCGAATGCTGATGAATATTTGAAGAGGAAAAATTGTCATCGACCATTGACAAAGGTATTGGAGAGTACCTCTATGGTGTCTGTTCCAGTCATTTGTAATGAACTTCCAAGCTCAAAGGGGACATTCTGACAGCGAGGTTTCGGGAATAGATTGCAATGAATCAAAAAAAAGTTTGTCCATTGTAAGTACCAGTAATAACTCAGAGTCTCAGACATCTGAGGAGCATCATGTGAGAATGCTGTACCCTTAAATGCTTCTGAAGGTGGTGGCAAAGCATCTCATCCTCATGTTAATAACAAAACCAAGGACAATGAGATTTCCAGATCCTGTGGATAGCTGAAAACATTTCATCTGACAGGTTACTTGATGTGTCGTTTGTTGGGGAAGAAAAAGCCTTTGCAGGTCTTCTTGATTGAACGTCTCTTTCTTATCATCTATATCTTTTATGTGCATAACTTAATGTACTGCATCTATAATTTTTTTTGAAATCTCTTGTTTCTCATTAATTTATTGGGTTATACTTTTCAACTTGGCTCATAATTTTATACTGCATGAAAGTCTGCACTTTTGCTCTATGCTGTTTCATCATGTTGTCTTTGGCCCTTTAGGTGAAATATCAAGTGAACTGAGCTGGCTGTTCAATAATGATGTGCTACATTTTGCAGCTTCATTACCTACGTTGGAGATAAATTTCTCTTTTATTTTGAACATTCTTTGATTGTTAATTCAGACTTCTTTGGTATTTACGATCTCTATGCTAATGAATGCATCTCTCACATTCTTTACTGGGAATGGAAATAATACATGGTTTTGAACGTGTTCTTTAGCATGTTGAACTTGCACAACTTGAATTTATTATGTGATCATGATTTTCAGTTTCTTTGATTGTTTGCTGAATGAAAATAAATTAATAAACTTTAAAAAGCCCTTACTGAAAGAGTTGACGTACCATAGGTTGCTGAACTGAAGTCAAATACTTAGCGTTCTATCCCCTCCCAAATCCAGAAAGAATGCAATGTTCTGAGTTAAAGACTTGTGCTGGCTACTAGGGGAATGATGGTGCTAGGGAAATTGGATAGACCTGCTGGCGATCCCTTCTGGACCTTACTAGAGAGGGAATTAGATGGCATATATATAGGTTTAAAAGAATCAATGTCATTCATCTTTCAGATACAAACCTTCAGCTATTAGAAAACTCAAGACATTCATTGCCTACGTAAGATCAAGATCCTACCATAAAGCTCGTTTCGTGAGGGAGAAGTTACACGCACAATTACACTACAAGATGAAGCAAAAAGGTCAGAAGGGTAAAGCAACTAAATAGTAGATTACATTTTACTAGATATTGTAAAATCATTACCCTCAATCTGCCAACAGAGATCCTCTGGAATGAAAAACCACAGAAAAATCAAGAGTGTGCCTGAAACCAACATCAATTAGAAAAGTAACGAGGGAAAAAATCTAACACTTGTTCTAGAGGATGGATTCAGAACTTCCAATTACCTGATAATATCTCATGGTGTCTCTCTGGTATTAAAGGCAAAAAGTGAGGTGAAGCAATGGCCTAAAACATACTGAAGCAATGAAGCGAAAAGCGAAGCGATTGCTTCTTTGAAGTAAAGCAAGTAACACTTTGAAGTGATCAATTATTAAAAAGAATATAACTAATTAGAATAGAAATTTAAAGAGTATTAAGAGTGGAAAAATAGAAGAGGCTGCAAGTAACAGATTTAAATTAAATTCTATTCAGTGCAAGTAGAACTTGATGAGTTGACTTTTTATATATACATTAATGTGAAATTTTTGCCTTAATATTATTGATATTTGGATGAATTTTATAAGATTTTACTTGATTCTACATAATTTTCATTCTTTGTACAGGAAAAGATTTAATTGAAAGAAATCATAATTTTTAAGAGCAAATTGCAGAGATCAGAAAGCTGAAGATTAAGTTGTGTGGAGTTCAGAAGTTACGGACCAAAACTGTTATTTTACCAATTACAAAAATTGTTTAGAAAGGCAACTTATTGAAGGTGTCGCTACCTATTTGAAGGTGTTGACCCCTTATGCAAATTTTAGAAAATTCATGCTTAACTTATTATTTTGATGTGCGTCCAACTTCTATTTCAATTAAGTTTTTTAAAACCTTACAAATACTTGTTCAAGTCCAAAATTAAGGGGAGAGCTTAATTTAGAGACAGGTGGCAACTCTCTTTTTCGGACATTAAGAAATCAAAATATAAAGAATGTATCAACAATAAAAAATTAAAGAATTTAATTTTTTTAAATTGAGTATTGTTTTTCCTTTTATTCTTTTTATTTATTGTTTGATAATCAAATATTCATAACTTTAATTTCAAGTTCAATCATTTTTATTATGAACTAATTTATCCTACAAAGATTTGATATAATCTAATCAATTTATTATAAATTTTATGATTTTTATAGTTTTAATTAAAACTATTCACCTTATGAAATTATATATTAAATTTAATGCATTGAAAGTCTAACTATCTTTTCAATTGATTTAGTGATTTATACATAAATTTAAGAAACAATTACATAAATTAGATTAATAATAATATAAACTGTATGTTAGATCAAAAAATAATTAACGTCACATGTGACAGTAAAGAAAGAGAAGGAAGTTAAAAACTCTTCTCTCTTAAACTAAAGGTTTCTATAAAATTCAATATTCATACTATAGATAGATATAATTAATTTGACAAATATGAAAGAATTAACTTGATTTGGAAAAGTTAATTAATTAATTTAAGAAAATTCGTCACCAGATGTAATAACATTTAACAAATTAATTTTAAAAATATAATAATCTAAAATCTATATTGTTTGGTTATGGTGAAATCAATATCTTAATACCTCATATTTTAATTAATTTTATTTTAATTATTATTTTTTATTATTTTAATTGAAATTTATTCTTTTTAATTGTTTAAATAAATTTAAATTAATTATTTTGAATACTTAATTAATCATAATTTTTATAAATTCAACACTCTACTTATCATTATATTATTTAAAGTAACTAAAACACTTGCTAAAGTAATTTTAATGCATTATAACATCCTGTTTTGAAATAAAAATTTAAGAGTCTTATAATGTGAGAAACCGATTACTTCAATCTATACTATACAAATGATATTAAGGACTTATTTGGTGGTACCTTTTGGAGTTTTTCTTTTTTTTCCTGTTTTATGAATGATAAATTTAAATTTTTATTAAAAAATTGTAAAAATTACTTTTAAAAATTAAAAAAAATTGAATAAAAAAAGAATTTATAAAAAATTTAAATTTGAAACTTTTAAATTTTTATTGTTTAAAATTTTTTTAAAATTAAAAAAATTTAAAAATGTATGTTTTTAAGAGGTATATTTAAACTTAAAAAATTTAAATAATGTCCAAAAACTGAAACTCTAAAAAGTAGAGCCAAACAGGCCCTAAGTTTCTTAATTGAAGTCCCTAGACTAAATAGATCTTAATACTATAAGTATATCAACAAGAAATAGAATTGAAAGATAAGGAGAGACGAAGAGGAAATACATAGAATTATGCTTCCCCTTTTTGCCCTAATTAGAGTCAAAATTCCAATTTAAACCCTGAATGCTTCTACACTTTTCTGTCATTTTATGCCATTTTAAATAAGCATCGTTTCAACGTCAGAACACTCTTACCGCTTCACTTCACTTCACTTCAATTGCTTTGGGACCGCTTCTAAGTAGAGCGCTTCTGAAATTTTGAAGCAGTGGTGCCTTTGATCGCTTTGCTTCGTCGCTCTAAGTGGTGAAACGAACGCTTTTGACAATACTCATATCCCAACATTTCAAGGAAGTCTGCGTGCAATTGTTCACTCTGGAACCTCCTTGCGTATTCATTACATGTCTGGGAGAGTTTCGAGAGAATGTTGAAATGGTCCTCAAACTGCTCCAAAAGAAAATCCTGAGTCCATTCATGTCCAAACTACAAAAAATTTAAGTAGCAAATAAAGCACAATTAGGAAGCAAAATAAAAAACATGCAGATCTGCATTTCATGGCAATAAAACACCGTATGAGAAACCAACTCTTACCATTTCAGCACGATGACGCTTGGCATTGCGAAATAGACGCAACAACTGTGCATTGTCTTCGTATTTTGGATTCCGATGCACGGATGCTCGTTGGCGTGATTGGGTGATTACCAGTGAGCCTGCCCGCTTTAATATATCCTTCAAACGATGACGGTCAGGAAGGTTGTCAAAATCCTTAAACCATGGCCACCAATTATACTTGTTTATTATATCGAGTCTTGATTTCTTGTCAAAGAAATACATAAATGCTTCATCTAGATGTTTGAGCTTCTTCTCAATGCTCCACAAAAAAGATGGGTCAAAAACAACATCCACAACGTGCCTGCAAACGAAAAAACTCAGCAAAATAATCACATAAAAAGTAATAAAATCAGAAAAAAAGAACCTAAATGGTACTTTTGTTCATCAAAGGTAGCCAATAGCATAAGAAAATCAATCAAATAATGTGGCACATCATTGTTGAAAACATAATCCTCCGATTTGTAAACCCTCCATAGGTCCTCTAGTGGCTTCTTGTTAACAATCACAAACAAAAAGTGCCTGATAGTTTTTAAATCTTCTCTATATGAACCACAGTGACCGCCTGATTTCTTTGGATCAAAACCTACATAAATTTATCCAGATCAGTGTATATCTCCACAAAAAAAAAAACTAGCAAATCTACAAAAAGAACTAATAATGAATTTACCTTTTCGAATCAAAAGTTGTGGCTCAAAATCAGTTGTGAAATAGATATAATGCATAAGATCTCCATGGCAGATTTCATTTTCGATGGCACACTTCAGCCACTTTGTGCACAACCTAAATTCAATTATTGTTTAAGTAACAAAAAAAACCAGAACTAATTATCTGATATAAAAGCCTTTCAAACCTCAGAGGATACAAACCTCAGAAGAGGATACAAACGAAGCTTGAGAAAAGAGAACCAATGTTCTACATCTGGAAATGTGAGTAAATCATGATACCATTCCTCAAATGTGAAGAGAATAGGTTGTTGGACAATCAATACAGATTTCTCCTCATTGAAGTATTTCCATGGAAGCGCAAATTCTCCCATTGAAGATAACAGCCAATCTTGTGCTAAAACAGTGACCTTATCGATATCCTTCAGCTTGGTAACCAGACAACTCAACTCCTCATAAGGATAAGTACATGGTATCATACGGCCCTTGATAAAATAGGTAGGCTCAAAACTGGCATTAACAATCATGACACAAAGAATTCATTCTTTAATGTTATATTCCAGCTGTACAAATTTAGAACCTCTAGATAAACCCCTAAGAGTCCAAACAGAAAAAGACACAAGAAAGGCAAACCACAATGCACAGAAAAACTTAAACATGGATTACCGTATAGACTGCAAATCTTGAACCGCCTCCTCTTGTTCAAAATATTTCAACAGTTTCCTGAGGGTTTGGGGTTCAATATCAGAGTTCTTGCTCAAGTTTTTGACTTTTATATTAATCAACTCGCAAAATTCATCTATATCCATGTCTTCCATGTTGGAGCAGGAACTACATTGACACAAATAAGTCAAGACTTGAGAAGATAAAAACAAAAATCCAATCTAAGAAATCATGACACAAAGAATTCATTCTTTAATGTTAAATTACAATGTGCATAAAAACTTAAACATGGATTACCATATACCAAGGATTTCACCAGCTCTCTGAAGCCTGGCCATTTGGAGTTTGATATCAGAGTTCTCGCTCAATTTTTTCAATTGTTGTTTACATTCTTCAACTTTTTTATTAATCAACTCTTTCAATTGATGTTTACATTCTTTGACTTTTTTATTAATCAACTCGCAAACTTCATCTATGTCCTCCACCATTTCTTCCAAGTTGGAGCAAGAACTACATTGACACAAATAAGTCAAGACTTGAGAAGATAAAACAGTTAGATCAAACACAACTAGTGAACAAATTTACAACAAACAATGGTTGCAAGTGGACTGGAATGTACGTTGCAAGTGGACTGGAACCAACATACAGTGCTTTAACTGTACGTTTTGCTTCAGCCGGAGCTGCCACTTGAGCTTCACCTTCACCTTCACCTTCACCTTCAGCTTCTGGCTCTCTGCTACTTTTAGAAAAATTAGTCTAAAAAATAATTACTAAACATACATACATCTAAAAGCACTGTATGACTATAAGAAAAAAAGCCCAACTGCAATCCCAAATGCACCCTAAAATGAGCTACTTTCCTGTTGGAACTAACATGGCAATAGAACAACGTGCAGGGAAAATGATGCCCGTTTTAAGGTCTAGAGCTAATGAGCCCACTCTTATGTTAATCTTATGTATCAATTTTACCCTAAGAACATGGAAACAAGAAACACACTCCACATTCCCATTGGGGAGATCCTTATTCACTTCCATGCCAACAATTGCATGTCAACCTTCTTTCTACTTCAAACAACACCATACCTCCAACACGGTTCTACTAAAGCTTTCCAAAGAGCACGTGAACTACAGCAAGCACACCCATAAGATATCAACCCTGATCAAAATCCAAAAAGCAAGATCATGCTTTTCAACATTTCTGTGGTATACCATACACATTCCCAACCTGGGATGGACCTACCAGGGGCTTAGTCCAATTCCTTGCATTAGCTATGGTGCAGAATCATAGCTGGTATTAGTTCCCAAAAAAAAACAGAAAAAGGTGCTTCCCTTAGCTCCCTCTAAATATAATCAATGGTTGAACTTTATTGAACTTTCTCCAAAAGAAAAAAAAATCACTTTCTCTATTTTAAATTTGGCAATAGTGAGAAATAAGTAAACACCTCTGAGGATACCGCACATGTTCCTTTGTAGGATGTCCAACAGGAATTGTTACGTAGTATGGGATCTCAGCTTGAAGTGCATACCTATCAACCAAGGGAAGTAAATTAGTTGCAGTCAACAAAAATTGTAATAATCCTGTCCACTGATTAGAATAAAAGTGGCAAGCCAACTTTTAGATGCTTTCTACATTAGGTTTTCAACATTCTTTATTACATGGCAAATCTAGGACTTTGGGAAGTAGACTGCAATTAAACTCAAATAACCTAGGCCAACATTTGTATGTACATTTGCATTAGAGAGGAAAGAGCCTGTTAACCACACTTGAAGCTTGAGAATCCGAGAGGAATCAAGCAAGCTTATTGTTGTGTGTTGTAGGTGATTCTTGTCTAATTCTATAACGGTATGTTTGGGAACATGATTTTCATAGAGTGTATTTGAATTTGAGCCTTCCAAATTCAATATCACTATTTGTTTTCACAAAATAAGTATGTGATTGAATTTATCCCAAACACATGTAATTGGGTTTATGTATTTCATTGCTTTAAATTTGTGTATTTGAAATACCCTCACAACCTCATGTATTTCAAATTTAGATCCATGTATTTCTATTTCAACTCTCTCCTCTTCCTAGAAAAATTTTGACAGAGATCGATGGTGGATGATTTCCATCAGACAAAGGTGCCAGATGACCAATCTTTGGTATAGAGATGGAAAACAATTTATCATCAATCCTCCATTGTTCCCTCCAAAGATCTTGTTTTCTTGTCTCTTTCTATACTTGGGAGGAATCCTCTTAATTTCACAAAAATCTTGACTCATATTGAAATATTACAAATCTTCTCCCAGAAAAATAGATTTTGTTTCTTGGTTTCCTTTTCCCTGGGTTCACATTGGTTAAGTTTTGTTTGTTTATATGAAATATACTCTTCTTCTCCAAATAATTTGACCGATAGAATTTTCCTTGAGATTTATATTTGTTACTTTGGTGGTTGATGCTAGAGGTGCTAGTGATTTTCTACTTCCTGTTTATTAGCGGATCAGGTGAAAGTTATTTAGCTTGGACATGTTAGTGAAAGTTGCAGAGGGATTGTATTGAAAGTGTTTGTAAAAATGCCTCAATCAACAAATTGAATATCAAATTCATTGTTGTTATTTTAATCCAAATAGTGAGTTTGGAAATACATGTATTTCAATACATCCCTCAAATACAAATTCAAGTTCCCAAACATATCCTAATTGAATTTTTAGATGAACTTGATTTTTCATTTTTTGCCATAAAGATGGTGAACTTGATTGAGTTAAAGCAATTTAGAGATATATAAATAAGCATAAAGACCAAATTCAACATGAAATTGAAATATGATAACATGAAGATGCTGATTTTATACTCTACATGTGATAGCTGGACATGCATGCCAGATTTTCTGGTTAAATGGCAACATGTTATGCATTGCTTATAGTATTGAGATTCTAAACCATGCTTATGAACTAATGCAACACTTGTCTGATCTTATCTGGTGCCTATGTTCTAATGGCATAAATTTATAGCTATCTCTTTTACTATATCTTTGACAATTTGACCTAAACTGTAGTTTTCTAAATTTAATTGCACTGTTTCCAAATCCTTCCATGTAGTATAGAAGCCATGTTTTCCCAAATGCATGTATGCTGTTCACTACAAAAAGGGTTTCTGAGTTAGTCATGGTTCAAACGTGGCCAAGGAAGGGTTATGGCAAAACTCTTGCCACTCTGGCCAAGGGAAGGTTATGGCAAAACTATCATAGCTAATAAATTGTTAACAGATAAACAAAAAGAGGAAAAAGGCACTAACATCTTTTTGACGGATCGGAGGTAAGGATCCAGATATTTCACCTCCAACTTCATCCAAATAATCCTCTTTCTCAAATACTTGATTCTTCTCAAATACTTCAAGTCATTCTCATCCCTATCATCCTCATCCTCAAACTCATTTTCATTCACTTTCTCATCCTCAAACTCATTTTCATTCACTTCATCATCATCAGCATCCTCATCCTCAAACTCATTTTCATTCACTTTCTCATCCTCAGCATCCTCAGCATCATCATCAGCATCCTCAGCATCATCATCAGCATCCTCAGCATCATCATCAGCATCCTCAGCATCATCAGCATCATCTTTCGGATCATCTAAATATGGAAGACTACCAGTCAACAGAGATAAATTAGTTCATGATCAACAAATGTATATGCATATTAGAAATCTAAAAGTTTGACAGAAAATAAACAAAAAAAAAAAAAAGAAAAAAAGTACAAATTGGAATTTTAATATTTCATACCTTCTGCTCTCTGTGTTCGTGATTGTGCACAGGATTTCATTTTTTTCAATGGGATCTGTTTGCCATTCACTAACAACCAAGAGAAATATAATAGTTGACAGTCAATAGATAAATTTTCAGAAATCAAATAAATT